GGTGTCCAGGTTTAAAGTAAATCAACATAAGACAAAGATGATAACTAAAAATATGTCCATATCTCAAAGAGAGGATTTAGGAAGGATAATGGGGTTTGAAATAGTTAAAAAGGTTAAATATTTAGGAGTATATATTGCAGCTTCAAATACGAAATTATTCAAAAACAGTTATGAAGTTCTTTGGCAAAAAGTGCAGAAGGAAATGGAAAGTTGGAAAAAGCTATAATTATCTCTATTGGGAAGGATAGCAGTAATAAAAATGAATGTATTACCTAGGTTCTTATTTTTGTTTCAAATGATACCGGTGCTTAAGAAAGATGGAAACTTGAGGGAGTGGCAAAAAGGGGTTAATACTTTTATTTGTGGTGGGAAGAAACCAAGAGTGAAACTGAAAATTATACAGGATGTACGTGAGAGAGGAGGTCTTAAAATGCCTAATTTAAGATTGTACTATGAAGCAGCTGTTTTATCACAAATTAGTGATTGGTTTAATTTAACTGAAGAAAGAATGTTAAATATGGAAGGTTATGATTTGTTATATGGATGGCATGCTTATTTGTTGTATGAAAAAAAAGTGGATAAAGTGTTTAAGGGTCATATACTTAAAAATGCGTTGCTGAGGGTTTGGAAAAAATATCAATATAAGTTAAACTACAAGATACCTATATGGGCAAATCCCAGACATGCAATAGAAAATATAAGTATAGAACAAAAAACGGAGGTGATTACTTATAAAGAGCTTCTTTTTATGGAAAGGGGTAAACTGCAATTGAAATCTTTAAATGTATTGAAAGAAGAAGGGATAGTTTATACTTGGTTTCAGTATGGTCAGCTTCAAGCTAGATGGAGGGAAGATCAAAAAATTGGTGTCATGCAAAATGAGGAAAACCTGGTAAAACAGATTAGAGATCAAAGTCAGATGCATATTAAAAGGTTGTATAATGCTTTATTGGAAATAGATTCAGAAATAGAATTGGTTAAGGATTGTATGATAAAATGGGCAGAAAACTTTCAGGAACCTGTGATGATGGAAACATGGGAAAAGATTTGGGTTAGAAATGTTAAATTTACGCAAGCACAAAATTTGAGAGAGAATTTTTATAAAATGTTTTACAGATGGCACTTGGATCCTAAAAAACTATCATGTATGTACCTGAATTTGCAAGCTAAATGTTGGAGATGTGAATGTGATGATGCAACTTATTATCATATATGGTGGACTTGTAAGAAAATTAAGGCATTTTGGATAAAAATTTGGTGGGTGATGCAGAACATTTTGAAAAAAAGGTTGAAATTTACTCCTCAATTGTTTTTATTGGGTATAACGACGGATTGTACAGCATTAGAGACTAAACTGATTCTGAACTTAATATCAGCAGCTAGGCTGTTGGTAGCGCAATATTAGAAGAAGGACTCTTTGCCTACTATTGAAGAGTGGACACTGAAACTAACGAATTTAGCAGAAATGGCGAAAATTTCAGCATATTTGAAGGACTATACACAAGAAAGATACGTAACGGAATGGAGAAGATGGATTGATTATATTCAAAATAAGTATCAGACAAGAAAATATTAAATAGCTTATGAATGAATGTTAAACTTTAGAAGTATTATGTTATCCATAGTGGAGTTAAGGTTTCAGGGGGGGATTTGGTGGTTTAAGAATAGTTAGGCTAATTTAGTTTATGACTGTTAATTGAAATACCCTGCATTTTGCTCTGGGAGGTCTGGGGGGGGGGGGGGGATGAGAGGGGGGGGGGGGGGGGGGGGGGGGGGAATATTGGGGTGTGTGTGAAATGTTTTTTGTAAAACTTTTCAATAAAAAAAAGAAAAAAAAAGAAAATGAAGATGGAGAAGCAAGACATAGATTGAAAATAGAGAAGACAAAGACAATATGATTAAATATGAAGAAGTTACTGAACATGTGGATAATAATAATAAAAAAGAGGTTTTTAGAGATTACACTGGGATTAACAATGAAAAAAATGATTACACTGGGATTAACAGTGGAATGATAAAAGAAAAGGTTGGAAAATACTAGGGAATATAGAGTAAAATAGAAGAGTCCAGGACATGGATTTAATGATTATATCGAGATTAATAATGATAAAATGAGAGAAAGAGAAAAGAGAGGGGAAACAGATGGGACCGATAGGGCAAAATAGGGGAGAGAGAAAGGAAGATAGAAATGAGAGAAGAATATGTTATAGATATCTAGAAATGAAATATGGATTGAAGCTAAAATATATGAACAATGGACATAATGAATTAATTTTTATTGAGATGTTGGATGGTACTATTTGAGAAAATTGATGGCTATTTTTAGAGATTACACTGGGATTAACAGTGAAAAAAAATAAAAATGATTACATTGAAATTAACAGTGAAAAAGATGATTACACTGAGATTAACAGTGGGCAAAATAGGGGATAGAAAAAGGAAGATAGAAATGAGAGAAGAATATGCTATAGATACCTAGATTTGAAATAAGGATTGAAGTTAAAATATATGAAAATTAGATTATATAAAAAGAAAATATATCAATGGATATAATGAATTAATTTTTATTGAGATGTTGGATGGTACTATTTGAGAAAATTGATGGCTATAATAATTGGGATATTGTTTAAATACCTATAACAATTGTAATAATTTGAATATTTTCAATAATACATTTATTTAAGCAAAAAGAAAAGAAAATTGAAATGATATAGGATTATGATTCACTAAATAAGACTCATTTAAATTGGCTTTTATATAAATGGATTGTTAAATAGACAGAATTTAGGGAAATAAATGGTTGTGTTATTTGAATTAAGAACTTTGTTTAAATGTTAAATTGGTATATTTTCAAGATTAGAGATAAGATTTAAATTTGATGAAGTAATAATTAAATAAAGATTTAATGAAATATTATATGAAGTAATAATAAAATGTAAGGAAGTTCTAGAAATGGAAATAAGATTTAGAAATATAAATATGTTTGAACTGTATTTTTAATAGTGAGTATTTGGGGTAAGAATTGTGAAATGTATTATGAGGTATTAATTGAATCAAGATTTAAGGTGGATTAATAGAAGGGTAATTACTTTGATTAAGTTAATATGAGTTAGCTTTCTATAAGATGGTAATAGTTGAGATATGTGATAAGTATTATGGCAAAAATAGTATATATTAAATTCTGATAAAGATGAACAAAAAGTTGTATAAATTTAAGACCGGAACAATGCTCTGTTTCGAAAAGATGTATTGTATGTTTATTTGTGTGTTTAAAAAAAAAAATTACAAAAAAAAAAAAAAAAGAACCCATTCCTAAATCACTATTCAAAAACTTGGACTATTAATTATGGTTTGTCACACAGCCAGATGTTCAGACAGGATTTGACATTTTTGTCCATCTATTAAGTCCTTCCAACTGTGCTATCCCGCTCACTCACACACACACAAGTAAATGTGGTTTAGTGAGTTTATTAATGTTCCCCAGCAATTCCCTTCACCAAGACTCAGAACTGTCCCAATTAAGTCCAGCCACAAGCAGGCTAAGATTAGTCCACAAAGCAATGGCCCAATAGTCCATAAAGCAATTGAAAGCTGCTCAAATAACTCCACCAAACGAACTTAAATTGTTAGCCATCTGCCACTGCAAGCTTTCCCCAGCTAAATCCTCCTCCAATTCTCTTTCTGCTGGCCATTCAGAGACATTAATCAACTCAGTTCCTGATGTGCTAGGAATGGGCTCATCCTCTCTTGACCTCTGAGAAGGAATCTGGGGAGTCGTCCAAGGGAGACATCACACCAACGGACCTGAGGTAGGCAGATGTGGATGTTTGATGGTCTTAAAAGATATTTTCGCTTGTTCCAAGCAAAGCTGCCTTTTGCAATTGACCCATGGTGAATTTGTCAATGCTGATGGTGTTCAAGTGGTGCTGCAGTTATTTTGGGATTGCACCCAAGATGTCTATTATTATTATTGGTACTACTTTTGTTTTTTTTTTTGCCACAGTCATTCTATTTTTATTTGCAGGTCTTTGTATTTTGTTATCTTCTCCAGTTCTTTCTCCTCTCTTCTGCTGTCTCCAGGTTCTATCCAAACATTTTGATTTTCTTATCAATAATTATTAAGTCTTGGGTGTTATGAAGCAGGTGTCTGTCTGTTTTTTATTTATTTATATTATTATTATTATTATTATTATTATTATTATTATTATTATTATTAAAATTTATATGCCACCCATCTCTCAATAAGGTGACTCTTACAGATCATAAGTTTATCATATTAATAGATAAGAAATTAACTGAATATAATAGAAATATTACAGAAAATGGAGATAGCTTAGTTTCTCATCTTTGACAATAGTTCCAATAGCTGGTTGGCTGAGGAAATGATGGGCTACTAAGTGGTTGTGGTGGTGTGGAACCTGGAACAATATTGGATTTTATAGAATGCTATTGCCTTTCTTTCATTTTGCTGTCTTAGCTTCTTGGCTCTTGTGTGTGAATCAAGCTGAAAGCAATTAGTAATCAGCAAATTGACCTTTAGCATCAATCCAGGCATATGGAGGACACTGTTCTGGATCTTTGTTTATTAAGAGAGAGGGGGAGAGAGACACAGAGAGAAAGTATGTTCAAATAAGCAATTAATTTACTATTTTTTCCAGGAAATGACAGAAAAGATATATGATACAAAGTTCAATATTCTCTCTGGAATTCAACCCTGAAACTTTGAATTATCCTTGTAGCCAGAATACAGTAGATGCTACCATAGTTCAATTCAAGTGCGCAGATCAACTTTTTAAACATGCAGTATTTGCTTTTTTGTTTTATCCTGTGAATCAGAACTTTGATGGGAACAATTATTTCACTTTTCCTACTGAAAACTAAAACCTTTAATCATTTTAAGATATTTAAGGTATGAATAGGCAATATTAATTTGAGCCCTTGCTGTTTCATCTCTTTTAAGGCAGCCAACATAATATGCATGTAGGCAGATAGTAACTCACACAGAAAGCATGCAAAATTACTGCTCCATGCCGCCGGTCTTCATTTGTAAAGATGTCACTAGGGAATTCACGGAGAGCTAAGAAGGAAAAAGAAAATAAAATCAAAACATTGGAAATAGTTGAATTGTAGTAAAGATATATTAATTAACCAAGCAAAGTAGTTTTATAGACTGGCAATCCTTGTATGTTCCTATATTATTGCATATTATTACCAAGCTACTTCATTTTACATCTTAGTGTAAATATGTATAATGAAATTTGATGTTATAATAATCAGGCTTGAAAGATCTATCAAATTCTTAAAACAATAAAATTATACTTACAATACAGGTCATAATTTAGAGGCACATTTAAAAAATTTTGGTTAACATGAGACAATACAAACTTGAGAGTTTTATCATCTCTACAGTTAAGAGCAATTCCCAAATAGGTGGATTTACTTATTTCAAAATCTGTACTAACAGAGAATATATTAACTGGGAAACAGTGATGGCAATTGTAAAGTGAATGGGACTAAATTTATTATTTTCTCACTATCACTGCATATAGTACTAATTGTGGGAAAAATAATATAATAGAATACTTTATTGCCCAAGTGTAAAGACAGAGAAGGAATTTGTCTCTGGTGCAAAAGTTCTCAGTGTACATGCAAAGCAACAGAGTAATAATAAGCATAATAATAATATCAATAAGGGAGAATAATAAAGCAGATGGGAAGGATAATAATAATACTACAGCCATACAACATGAGTAAAAATATTTAGAAATAAGACAATATTGTGAGAATTAGGTGTTCAGCAGAGAGATAGCATGAGGGGAAAAACTGTCCCTGTGCCTAGTTGTTTTGGCATGTAATGCCCTATAGCAGCACTTGAGGGAAAGAGTTGAAACAGCTTATGTCTAGGATTTGAGGGGTCTGTTTCTCAGCCCTCCTTCTGACTCGCGCAACAGACAGGTCTTCTTTGGAAGGCAGGCTGGCTGCAATTGTTTTTCCTGCAATCCTATTCAAATAATTTAACAACCGGTTCTCTGCTCTGACTGGCTGGGGGTGGGGTGGGGGAATGGCTGGGGGTATGTGGCTTAGGAGGCGTGGCCAACTCACCATCACTCACATCAAGGGGTGCCTCGCCTGGCCCCTCCCCTCCCACTCTCCAACCTCTGTGTGTATGTTTGGGGAGGCAGCAGCTTCTGAGCAGCATGATCCCCCCTCCCCAGTCAGCCAGCTCCACCTGACCTACTCCCTGAGTCTTGCCGTTCTCCTCGCCCCACCCCCCACTCAAGTGGCAGCAGGCTTTTTCCCATGGCGTGGTGTACGCTTGCTACCTCTTCTTGTCTGCTTGCAAGTGGTGATCTTCTCTGCTTCTCTCGGGATGCTGGTGTGGGCACCATGCATCACTTGTCAGGCTGAGCAGGGAAGTCGCTGTCACACCACTCCCCCTTGCTTCCCCGAGTGCAGAGCTGAGGCCATGTGCTTCCTCGCCTGGCTGGCCACCGGCAAAGAGCCGCACAGCTGACAGCTGCTCAATGCCTCACACAGCATCGCCCAGCCACCGGTGATGAGGAGTGGTCAGCCCAGCTTGGGCTGGCTGGTTGGAGCAGCACTGCAGTCGAGGCCCCCATGCTGCAGCTGAAAGAGAAGGCACCAAGCACAAAGATCCTCATGTTGGAATCTATGACCAGCAGGTCAAGGTGGTGGAGTACGTGGTGTGGGAGCCCATTGTCCTGAAAAACCTCAGTTTTTCAGAAGGCTGAATGAAGTTTTCAACTGAGCAAGGAAGCACTATGGAGCCAGGCCCTTCACACTGCATCCAGCACACCGGAATTTGCTGCGCCGGGCCAGGAATGATTCCCGCAGACCCCGCTGCTGCTTGAGCAGGGAGGATGACACTGAGGAGGAGAAAAACCACGAGGTTTTGCGCCAGGTGGCTGGCCCTGCAGTGGCGGCTTGAATGGCCTGAGTAAAGTTGTGCTCGCCATGAATCACCAATGTTGGCCTTTATGACTTCTGTGAAAGGCTTTTTGATACCCTTCTGCAGTTCCTTTTCGATCTCGCCCACTTTCAGGACAATGGGCCCATGCACCACATACTCCACCGCCTTGACCTGCTGGTTCATAGATTCCATCATGAGGATCTTCTCGCATGGTACCTTCTCTTTTAGCTGCAGTGTGGGGGCCTCAGCTGCAGTGCTGCTCCAACCAGCCAGTCCAAGTCCAAGCTGGGCTGGCCGCTCTGTCCCCACCGGTGGCTGGGCGATGCTGTGCAGGGCATTGAGTGGCTGTCGGTCGTGTGGCTCTTTGCCAGTGGCCAGTCAGGTAAGGAAGCACATGGCCTCGGCTCTGCGTTTGGGGAAGCGAGGGGGAGTGGCATGACAGCAGCTTCCCTGCTTAGCCCTGACAAACGATGCATGGTGCCCGCATCAGTGTCCTGAGAGAAGCAGATCGCTGCTTGCAAGCAAACAAGCAGAGGTAGCAAGCATACGCGATGGCATGGGAAAAATGAGAGACCCTGTTGTCCCGCAGAGCCTGCTGCCATTTGAAGGGTGTGTGTGAGGAGAATGGCGAGATTCAGGGTCAGGTGGAACTGGCTGACTGGGGAGGGGGGGGATCATGCTGCTCAGAAGCCGCCCCCACTGCTACCAGAAGTTTGGGTGCCTCGGCTGAAGCACAGATCACTCCCTCCCACAAACAGCTAATTTGAGGAAAGACCATGCACGGCTGGGCACACTTCCCAGCAGGAGGAGTTATGGCACAACAGAGCCATTGTGGCTGCTGCTTGTTTAGTGTGGGTGGTCCTGCTATAATAGGTGGCTTTGGTTTTTTCCCACCGCAATTCCACCGCTTGCCCCACCCACTACCAACCAGATGCCCTCACTTCCTCCAAGCATTGCTTTGCCTACCTGATTTCCAGCTCCGTTGCGTTTTTTGCTATCATGTGCAGGAAAACAAAAGTTTGTGGGACTAAAAAAAAAATTCAATCGATTCCAACTTTGTGAGATTTTTTTCTTTCACGAGAAGTTGAAATTGATTGATTGCACTTTATTTTTAGTCCCAGAAAGTGTTATTTCCCTGCACATGATGGCGAGAAATGTGAAGGAGCTGGAAATCAGGCAAAAAAATGCTTGGGATAATCTGGCCGGTGCTGGCAAACTCTTAAAAACCTCGTCTTTGACTGCTGACACCAAAAGGCAAAGCAAGAGCTGCCAGGAAAAAACCAGTAGGCCTGGGTGTCTGGAATACCCTTCCTCCCCCGCCCCACCTTTCCCCAACTGCCACACTCCCAAATTACAGTGAAAGTGAGGGGCAGGAAGCCCTGCCATGCCTGGTGAGGGTGGGGGAGAAGAGGCGGCAAGAGGAGCTCCATCTCGCTCCACGTGCCCCAATGAAAGGCAGAGGCAGCCCAGCCACTTCCCTTCCCCACTCTCTCTGGTGCTGGAAGCCAAGTGTCAGACACATGCCCAGTCGCCCATGCAGAGACAAGTAGGCCATGGCAAAGGCAAGCAAGTGGGCTGGGCTATGTGGGAGGCAGTAAGGGAGGAAGACTCACCAGGCAGAGATCAGCTGGGCTGCGGGGGGCGGGAGGGCGCGGTCGAGGCAAGCGAGGGAACCAGAGAGCAGCTATGCCACAGGCGTGACTATAGGCATCGGTTAAGGTGGGCGGGGTGAGATACGGAGTGAGGGGTGGGGCAGGGCCAGCCAACAATTTAACAACTGGTTTGGCTGAAGTGATGCGAACCGGTCGAATCCCACCACTGAGAACTACTATTTGTTGGAGTCTGTATCTGTCCTGTTTGGTTTCTATATCAAACCAGACAGTTATAGAAGTAGAAATGACAGACTCAATAATTCCTCTGTAGAACTGTATCAACAGCTCCTGGGGCAGACTGAACTTCCTGAGTTGACGGAAGAACATTTGTGCCTTTTTTGTTGTGCCTTTTTAATGAAGGTTCTAATGTTAAGAGTCCATTTCAAGTCCTGGGAGATTATAGAAACAAAACTTCGCAGAATTCTAGAATAGAAGGGATCCTTCTAAAATCACTCTCATCTACAGTTTAAAGCATGTTCAGCTCCAGATTGTTTCAGCTGCACCATAGGCCAGTTGTTCAACCTCCTGTCTATATGCAGACTCATCACTGTCTAGAATGAGACCAATGATTGTTGTACCATCTGCAAACTTCAGTACTTTAACAGAGGAATCCCTAGAGATGCAGTCATTGGAGATGCAGTCATCTCTGTTTATGATAGGAAACACCATGTAATGTATGTTTCTTATTAATGGCACATTTGCTGCTAGACTACTATGTTTAGACAGTGATTAAGATTTTAAGAATATAAGGAAAACATGCTTGCTTAGAGGAAAAGCCAGCTGAATTAGTTCCCACAGTGGCAAACTAGCTGTTTATTTGGAAACCAATAGATAAAATTTGAGCCCAATCATATTGGAGTGCTGTTGTTACTCAGCAACTAACATTCATAGTCATTTTGTCAGCAGCAATGCAAGCTAACGAAGCTACCAGTCTGAACTGGTCACTCCACTTTTGATATCTTGAATGTGAAGACCTAGGTCAATCTGTTCTTTTGTCCACTGGTATCTATTGCTGAAAAATGTATAATTTCTATTAAACATTCCCTTCAAAGAAAAAACATCTAAGCACATGCAATAGAAATAAATTGATCAAGGAATCGTTGCTTTTGAAATATTTTGTGTTGTTTTCCAGGTTCTTACTTTTAGACAAAGCTTTCATCTCTCAAATAGCAAGCAGAGAACTTTCCAAAGTGGTGCATGGATATGCATATTGGAGAGGAGGCAGAGATGCTTTTGATCCCAGGATAATAGTCTTTGATCATCTTTTAACTCAGAAACAAACACAGAAAAAGCACCTTGCTACATTGGGTCAAAAACCCCAACATTCATTGTTTCCAACAGTGAACATGAACAGTTTTCTAGAAAGATTACAAGGCAAACATAAATGTGTCTTTTCTCAGCATCTCAGAAATAAACTCATCCTGGTGATATTTAGGTATTTTCACTCTAACAACAAATTCAAAGGCAGAATTCTGACAGATGTGGTAGAAAAAC